AAAAATACTGATGATCAAACAAGACTTGGTGAAATTCAAATTCATCCAATTCAACTTTAGGAAACTGAGACATATGGATTAGGAAAAGAATCACTACTTCACAATCAAGACAGAGGGATAACGCCTGAAGATAATCCATTCCACCTAAGTGATGACCACAGACAGGGCTGACAAACTGACTCATTTGTCTCCCTAACACTATGTTTTTTACATAGGCACTGTGAATTTGTTGTCACCACGCTGGCCAAACAAACGACAAAATCTCTTAGGCAAAAATACTGTTTTCCCTTCGACTACATATACACAGCAATAGGATACAAAGATTAGTCGATCCTCCTCGTCTTGACCTGGCAAAGTTTTACTTTCATAAAGGGCTCACAGTACCTCCTTGTCCAGATGAAAAGAGAGTAGGACAGAAATAAACGTGGCCTAAAACTTTTAATTTAATTTTCTTTCCTGGACTTAGTCACATAGCTGTCGTAATACTACCAGACGAAAAAGATGTAACTATTGCAGGTTATGACCTGTAACACAAAATCCTACTACTTTTCAAAGACCAAGATTTTCATCTACTCAATTAGACAAAATTTAAGTTCTTAATCTTCTGTTAAGAAGGCAGCAGTTAGGGCCACTGACTAGTGTTCTCTGTGAGAAAGAATGTCTCAGAAAAAGGTTGCTGGAATTTGAAACTGACCGTTTTGCCTGGACTTTTCAGCATGAGAGATGAGTCAAATTATCAGTGAGTCAATAGTTAAATCATTCCCAGAAATCTACCCTAATTAATTATATGGAAGATAGTCTCATGGATTTAACTGAATGAATCATCAGTCACTGCGTATTTTTTCCCCATGATCTTCTGATGGTTTTCTCTTTGCTGTAAAATATTTTTGGGTGTTACTGTTTAATCTTTAAACTATATTATCTATGTTGATTGTCTGACAATAATAAAGTAGATTTTATTCCCCTATGAAAGAAAAAGGGAACTCAAGCCAAGGTTTCTTTAGTCAGGAAGAAAAAAATTTGGGTCGTGACTTTTGGTGGTTGAAGATGTTGCTTGTTTGTTGTTTTTCTGAGCCTAAGCTGGTGAGGACAAGTGAAGAGGAAGATGAAAACAATGTCTTCAAAGCCAAAACCTGAGATGTCACTAACAGTAGTCACTGGTTATTTTTTAAGCCTTTGGACTTTGCACAGGTGAGTAATTTAATTGTGTATTAAATCTTAGAGTGCTGTTGCTCTATCTGGCTATCCCCTCAACACTAAACCACAAGTTTTTGCCTCACATGTCAACTTTATCTCCGTTAGTATTATCTTTTGTGTTAAGAAATGTTTAACTAATGGTTTTTCAGGGAATAGATATTTCATTGCCATTTAATCTGCTGCACTATTGAATTTAAAGCTTCCAGTGAATCATTGATAAAATTAGAGGGGAAATGTGATTCCAGTTAATGTACATCTCTCAATGTCCTCTTATGAAAGTCCTTCGTCATTCTGAGCACCTTCCAAACATCTGAAAATCTGTCTTGTTCATGAAACAGATTCTAAGACTTTTAATAAAATTATTCCTGTCCCCTCCAAGCCTTAAGGTGACAGCCCATAGATTTGTTTGTAGCCAAAGACTTGGGCTTCTGGGCCCTTTCTGAATTTTTCAGTGTCAGGAGATCAATAGATACAGCTTTTTGAGTGAAGATACAAATCAGGTATTATAGGTTGGCACTGATACTGAAGTGATGCAGAGGAAAGAGTATGAGAGAAGATATGTCTGAACTGGCTGCAGATATTAATGATGGATACTTTACTTCACTATGTCTGACTTTGAAAAGAGATATATTTGAACTAGAACTGTAGCTACTTATGTCAATGCTGAATAAACTTTGGCGTCT